ACCGACCCAATTGTGAAACTTATTGCAGTTTTGTGATGGCTCTTCTGAGGTGGAGTTGAGATTAGAACTTGGGCAGGGAGATGTAACTCCTAAGGAGATATATGTAGATGCAAATGAAAGTTCTTTAGCAATTAGAGTAGAGCAATCTGGAATTATTCGGACTCTCATGGAAACCAGCACTCTGTATGAGAAGATAAAGCCTGCAGAGACAATATGGTAAAACACAAACAAAATCTTACTACACATGTTATATCCTTGCGCAAACATTTGCTGAAATAAATTGTTACGTGCCAGGTACATAGACGACGATCAATTAGTAATTAGCTTGAAGAAGCAAAACTCTGAGTTGAAATGGCCTGACATTGTGGAGTCTTGGGAGTCCCTAAGTGCTGGAATTACACAACTCCTTAGAGGAACTTCAATATACTTAGTTGGGGAATCGACTGAAATCAACCAGAGGATTGCTCGAGAACTGGCTGTTGGACTAGGGTATGTATGTTCCTCACTTTAATGAGTAAAAGCTAATGCAACATGCTGTGAGGGAGCCAGGGGGTGCAGGCGCTGGCATCTACTGCCTGCCCTTTCTTTTGTTAATATTTTATCGTCAAATTTGGAAGAACTTGTAAAAAACAAACCTTCAAAGATATACCTCTCCCCAAAAAGTAGATACTTCACCTTAATTCCATTTTCTAAATATGTTGCACCCGCTATGTGTTTATATGTGATATATTGGTCCTCTTTCACCAAACATAGGCGGAAAGGTGTGCATGAATCATATTAACTAGCCTGTATAGTGGTTTTCTTTAATTATCAATTTTTTCACTTAACAAAAGAGTTGGATTGGTTGCATTTCCTTCTTCCGATCATCCTTTTAAGCTAAATTATATCATTTCCACATTCAACATCATCTTCTAAAAACTTTGTTCAACTCTTATGGTGGTTAGGTACACCCCTCTTAGTACTATGGAGCTGCTAGAAGTATATGCCAAGCAACCAATTGATTCATGTGAGTTACATCCGTTTTTTCTCTTTGCAGAAGGAGATAGCTATCGATAAGTAATAAATTTACAAGGAAAAGCAATAGAAAAAAAAAAGTGTTTACAAGGAAGATCAGAACTATCGTGATTGAACATGGATAAACCGAATAACTAGGGAAGAGAGATAAAGAAAATACTGGGGCATGCAAATCTATGGAAACATTTAATTTGCTTTGTATCATGAAGATGTCATACACGCAACACTCGTTTCTCATGCATTCAAAGGCATAGTATCCCTTTGCCTCCCTTCACCCAAAGATCCTTTTTTCCTCTTTATTCAATTGTTTCCTAACCCATTCCAGGGGTAAATGAGGAGGGGTCTGATGCTGTAGCAGAAGCAGAAAGTGTTATACTAGAGAGTCTCAGTAGGTATTCACTTTGTCTTGTATGCCTTTCTCGTTTCACTTGGTATTGAGAAGTAGAAATATATTATATTTGATTCTTGTTTTAGCCATGCCCGTGCTGTTATTGCAACCTTGGGAGGGAAGAGAGGTGCCGCTGGAAGAGCAAACCAATGGAGGCATCTTTTTGCTGGATTCACAGTCTGGCTTTCCCTATCTGAAGCCACAGGTTAGGAAACTAAACTCTCTCTCCCCTTCATTTGGATGTATTGTATGTTTTACAAGCCACTCCATTGTTATATATTGCTATTTTCTGTCTATCCATGAGTTTCCATTCTCTTTATTTAGATAGTCTAGGAGTGTCACAATACATATTTATTAAAACGGCATTTATTTTCTAGGGTGTGGGGGGAGGAGGGAAGCAGGAATTGAGAACTTAATTGTACATCGTAAAACGTGGCTTTTCTACGATTGCTGAAAGTTGTTACTTGGTTTCATAGTATGTTGGCTTATTTGACACGCAAAACTATACCATTTTGTTGGTCACAAGTCACATTGAACCGTGGACTTGTTTGTTTAAGCTGTGTCCCCTAACAAGCTATGTGGAAAGTAACTCTTTCTTTGACTGCAATATGAATTTTAGTGTCTACTTCTCTCTCTTTAAATGATATATGGAGTGAATGCTGCTTCGAATCAAATCCTGTGAAATGATGAACTAAGATTAAAGTTTATCTCGCTATGAGTTTTCTTAGTTGACAAGCCAAGATCGGCATGCACATGTTCAACTTACTTTAGAGACATAAGTCGTCATGAGTGTTCCCTGTAGACTACAAATGAAAGGAGAAAAATAACAAAAACTAGTCTACCTCTAGAAATCTTTTCTTAAACAGAAATAAGTTGCATATTTCTTTATCTGACTCCCTTTCGAGTCTTGCGATTGCTAAAAACATCTGTCTATTGTAGAAACTATACAATTCCTGACCGAGATATGAACTTGAGAACAAAATAGAAACTGAGATATAAATAAATTTCTCCTATGTACAATTACCGAGTGCACCTCTAAATTATAATGGGAAATGTGTTCTGTTTCTTAAGCTGGTCTTTCATCTAAGATAAGTCTTGTTATGTATTTTAAGCTGGTCTTTGTCTGATATCAACTGCAGATGAAGAATCTGCAAAAGAGGAAGCAAAAAGGAACATGCAAGATAGTGGTCGAGGTTATCCTAATGCTGAAGTGGTAGTAAAGCTCGGAGGTTGGGACCCTAACTATTCAAAGTCAGTAGCTCAGGCTGTGCTTAGTGCACTTAAGTGCTTAATTTTGGCAGATAAAGACCTTCCAGGTACACTGCATTTCATAACCATGCTTCCTACACCTAGTTGTTATGAACTTTGAATTTATTGTGGATAGGCTTATTCTCTTTCCAAAAGGCAGAAAAAGAAAGAAAAAATTATATAACATAGATGGTAAAGGAGCTTGCGCAAGTGTAATGAGTTAAACATGTGCTTAGCATTATTATCAGTATGTTGAGTAAACTTTTTTTATATTTCCTTCCATAACACTGTTCATAATGTACATGGTAATACATATATATATACAGCTAATATGAGAATCATACGCTAATGGTCTAGCATTACAAAGAAAGAGCCCCTTTGCCTTGACATGAATTGGAAGTTTGTACAAGCTTGTCATGTGATTTGTTATTTTGTTTTCTTCTATTCTGAAGGAAAAAAGAGTTTATACATCAGGTTGGGCTGCAGAGGTGATTGGCCAGACATCAAACCACCCGGTTGGGACCCGTCAAGCAGCCCTGATGTATCTTCTCCCTCCTCATAGCAGAGTCACAGTATGTATGCATTTAATTGTAACTATTTCCCTCACCTTTTCCCCTTTTTATTTTTTTGTATCAATATATGATATAATAGGAACTTAGTCCTTGAGGGGCATCAACTTGGGTGTTGTCCACATTCTTTATATGAACTGTAAGAAAGGTTTTGGCTTCGCTTGGACAAGACCGATTCATTGTCCAGAAATTTTGCCCTGAAAAAATGTGTGGTTCAGACGAAATTTGAAACATATTCGTTCAAACTACGTGACCCCCACTATTAGTATCATTCATTTCGGAAGTTGGCCCGAAAATACGCGTCACATCAATGTATGTTCAAGAGTTTTTTAAAGAGGGAAGTAAAGTACAAGAACGTTATACTGCAAGTAAAACAAGAGTCTTAGGCAACTCAGGTCACACATCGCAAATCGCGAATGACCAATTGCACCTTGAGCTTAAAAGTGATTATAATACAATGCCTTTATGTATATAAATTTTATTCTCTTCAAGGCTAGGGAAGAGGAGATAATTACGCCGGGGGATTGGGGGGAGGAAGAAATCGGCCACGTCGTCCCCGCTAAAACCAATCTTTTGCTCTTGTAACTTCTGCGAGTTTTTGACCAATATCATCTTTGTTGTATCACCTAATCTTTCGTTACATCCTCATAATATACCATTTAACATGGAACATCCCTAAAGTTTTCCAAACCAAACCAAAAAACCGTCCCTCCATCAAATTTTACATACATTACTAACTGCCTTCTTCTCTTACATGTACTTTATCTTTCACAACATTAAAGATGGAAAAAAACTGACTTCACAACATTAAACCAGCGAAAAAGGCCCTCCCTTCTCCGGATTTTCTAACATGTCATCTTGAAATCCGGCATGAGATCAGTTTCTTCCACCTGAAGTGCAAAAAGGATTTTAAAAAAAAAAAAAAGAAAACATAAGCTATTTCCGGAAGTAGGGAACTAGTGATAGCCGTCGAAGAAAAAGACTCGTCATTCCGTTGCATGTACTGAAATATCTTTTCCAGAAGATGAATCCAACAGCAAGACTTTGAACCTTAAAAAGAAATGTACACGTGAAAATTTAGTACTACTAATTATGGTCCAAGTCAGAACTCAAAAGCAAATCGTCACTTTCGCTGTTGGGTGCTTGGACAGAGAACAGCAAAAGCGAGTGGCTATGTTGGAAACAACCAAGTCTTCACCTAATCTGATACATAGGTATGGCCGGTGAACGCGTCCGAGAAAGCTAGCCATCATAAATTAAAACTTTCAGGAGGATGGGAACTTTTTAAAGAAAAAGATAAAGTGCATGTGAGAGATGGCGATATTTAGAAATGGAATACGGAGGGATGTTTTTGGTTTAGCATTGGAAAACTTGAAGGATGTTTCATGCAGTTAAAGATTATGAGGATGTAATGAAAGTTTAATGATACAAGGATGATAATGGTCAAAAACTCTTAACTTCTGCCATACATCAATTATTGCCATCACAGATAGGAGAGAATGCAAGGCGCATATAAAAGAACAAAAGGGGCAAGTTCTGACACCAGTGCTCATAGTCACAAAAGAGTCGAAGAAATTCAACCTACATTAACTACCAACAAAAGGAAAAAAAAAAAAAAAAAATAGAGCTTGCANAAAAAAAAACTAGAGCTTGCATGATCGTTAAAGGTAGAGCTGTTGACCACCAAGCAGCAAACCACCATTCTGGCACCAGCCTCAACAATTAAGCTTCCCGCTTGGCACACTTGAAGAGCACACTGATGCTGAAGACGGCTGCAAACACAAGGATAGGTTTTTCAGACCTAAAATCACCATTTCTATACAATTCCATTCAGTAGCCTGCAGCTACGAACTGCATATCCATATATCTACCAACAGTATCTTAAATAAATCCCACCACATGAAAGAAGCCAAAAGAGACAACAGAGAAGACAACAAAAAAGATAAAACTAGAAAATATATATTAATACAAAATTTTCATCAAGAATATATTAATAATAACATGCAGAGAACAAAATAAACCCAGGCCTCATCACCTCACCCATCAGCCATCGGTAAAAAGATGAAAATTGCAACAAATCGTAAGTGATAGAAGGTTGTATGTGTGACTGATCTTCCTTAAGAAGATGCTTTTAACGAAGAGGTTCGTGGATTCGGGACCTCACACATTTCACCCATACCTCTGAGAAAGTCCAATTTGAGATTTGATTGTAAAACGTAAAACACATTTACTATCTCCTCTAGTATAATAAAAAATTAAAAATATGCAGCCCTCCCCTAGGTTAAATAAATGTATACTTGGAGCCAAAATTGCACCTAACCCCACTCAATTAATTTTTATGAATCCTACCAAGATCTAATCTTGTTTTCGTGGTACAGTAAAAACAGATCTACTCTATTCTTGAATCAAAAACTGATATAATGAATGCATGGAAAAGATGGGAGTGAACCGTTTTAGAGAATTTCACATGCCTGCATTCCCTACAAAATCCACGATACAAGAGAAACAAATGTCCCAACCTTGAATTTTTTTCCTATTGTCAGTGTAACTAAAGATATGCCTTACCCTTTTAATGGGCCTTAAGCGGCGGATATCCGGATTACTCAAGCCCAGAGCGGGTATCGAACACTGGGTGGGAAACAAAAATAAAACAGAAAAAGATTTACTTTACATATTGACTTGTATCAGCTATTTTTAATCCATTTCATTAGAAATAGCTGTCACGTAAACAAGATAAAAATTCCCATATTCTCCCAGCATATGACTCAAAAAAATGCTTGGCACTGCCGTCCTTTGATTGGAATTTTCTATTACAACTTTTTAAATCAAACTTCATATCTATTATTGTCAAAAGAAAAGAAATGGGAAAGACACCCCTCTAAGCCAAATTTATTTGAGTACTCCCATATGGCCCAGTAAGAGGAGTTGGAACCATATGGCACCTTAAAGAACTCATTTACGAGTTTTTGGTTTCGAGAAAAAAAATCAAATTGACTTCTTATATAGTGCCAAGCAATAAAGTAATAGTTGGTGGAGGAAAGCAATATAATGTGGATCCCTTTTTGAAAGACACAACAGGAAAGTAGTATTTTAATTTAAATGACGGTGCAGGACAATTATTTAGGGAGAGGAAGAGCAGCACAAATTATTTCTTCCAGTAACATATCTGGAAAAAGATGTCCAAGATAACCTCAAGTGGCTGAAAAGAAGAGTATGAAAAGGGGGGGGATTTAAGATGTACAAATTTTACATGACCTCGCTTGTTAAGGGGAGATTAGGGTCGATCATCATTCAAAAGAAAATGTTTCTTCTACTACTACTGACACCAGTTACATTGCATGTCCTGCCGGACAATTCAAACAGCTGAGCGACAATGTAATCAAAGTGATAACGTCTATGTAACGTAGCGTTTATATTCTAACTTATTAAAGGTTTTGAAATGACCACATTCTTACTATGATTTTAAGATAATTTCATCCATTAATGCAGAGTGGGAAAGTAGTAATAACACTAAAGGATTTTTCGTAGTCCTCTTGTTGCATCCCTGCTGATAAAAAAAACACATAGGAATTTCATAATGCCTTCACTGTAAATGCGCTTGGTACTTACGAACATTCCCATTAGAAGTATCACATCACTATCAAAGATTCACTTCTTAGAAGAAAAAAATCTAAAAAATAAGGGACACCAATATAATAATTTTGCCACAACAGGTGTATTTTAAAAAGTTAGTACCACCACTAACATAAACAATCAGATCAGCCATAAAGAGAAAACAGCGAAGTCTCGATAGACTTTGAACTAGAGGATAGAATCTTGCACCAAAAAAGAAATACAACATAAGCAAATACACAAGCCACCTAAGCTAAGAGCAACCATTGTTCCCACTTCTATTAAACTCAAAATCAATGTATAGCAACCATTGTTCCCACTTCTATTAAACTCAAAATCAATGTATAGCAACCATTGTTCCCACTTCTATTAAACTCAAAATCAATGTATAGCAACCATTGTTCCCACTTCTATTAAACTCAAAATCAATGTATCAATTCAAGACGTGTTTTTGTCAACAAACATCCAGCCTAAGGTACCAAATTATATATGGATAGAAGCACATTCTTAGCATACCTTGCATTGGAGATTGGTCACGGTAGACTTCAGTACCTGATCACCCACTATCAATCTCAACTTTTTAATGAAATCATTCCGTGTAATTTTCTTGCTCTAAGCAAAAAACAAAACGAGAGAAATTTAGGGAGCAGGAAGAATGTTTTAAATGAAAATTGTTAGACACAACTGTCAACACAATGAAAATTGTTAGACACAACTGTCAACACAACATACCCTGAACAAATCATAGTGTGCATGAACCAATTTCATATCTTTAGGAGCAACTTTAGCTGAAATAGCTCCAAATAACATAGAGAAAGGCATCCAGGGAGATTTGGGAGCTTTATTTGTACTTATACCAGCATCATGGGATTGCTGTAGGTTGTTTACAAACTGATATTGCTGACAATTCTGCTAACCGAATAAAACCGGAAATGTTAAACAAGGACATAAACTTATTCAGAAGGTTAGGTTAAAACACAAGGAAATTCACATGCTTTCTAAATGTTGCACGTGAACAATAAAATTCTTTAAAGAACAAACAAAATCGAGCAAAAAAGAGAACTTTTCCAAAAAAAAATCCAACACTAGAAGAATGGAGAGAGAGGCTAAGATTAGAAAATTTCTTTAGACTCGGCCATTCGTTAAGAGTTAAACAGTTCAAATAATAAAAAAGGCAACTTTGCCTATCCGCCTAATAGTTTATATACGTAGATGTGCTCTCTAAAGCAATTGCATCAGCAATTTCATTAACATGTGTCACATCAATGTATGTCAGAAGCCAAAAGAAAAAATTTATCACCCAGTTCGCTTCCTATTTTGTCAAGATATCTTCATACCAGATGCTCCTTTAGCTAAAACTTGAGAACACTCCTTCACTGGAAACTACAAATCGTTTATTAATCCAGATCTAGGAAACAACTTAAAGAGGGAAACAGGAAACTAGATCATTCTCTTTCTTCCTATAGTAAGATCACCGTAAGCGAGGAGATCAAGTGCAACCATGCTTGATATTCAACCATTTCAGTTCTCTTAATGATCAAATTTTAGAATCCATATATTCTCTGAGAAGCTAACTTTAGTCCACCTCATTCAAGTTGGGAAGGTCTGACTGTCTATGAATATTCATATATAGGCAACAATCTGCGCTGCAGGAAATCTTGTCAAACCTCATATTGCAACTTCTTGTGCAGACCCGAAGCAGAGAAATACAATCTCAAGTTAAAGCTCAATTTCTGAAGAGGAAAGCACATAAGGAATCCACTGGATGTTATCAACTTGTGCCAGCAGAAGCACTTTGTGTTGCTCCACATTGGTGTAGTAAGGGAAATAGGACTCGTAGTAGCTACTTTTCCCTCCAAATAATCTCTGTTCGCCTTATAATATTAGCAAAGACTAATAGCAAAGACAATTTCTCAGTTTTCTTTCTTTGTTTTTCTGCTATAGGGATGGGGTGGGGTGAGGGGTAAGTCAAATGAAAGATTACCAATTCCGTAGGCAATTTATTCAAGTCCAACTGCTCCTCAGATCCCTGAGAAGTAACTCCGGAGACATCAAGCCTACTTTCTTCCCTTATTGGAGCTCCTGGGAAATAAAATGCAAACTCAGAGCCACTTTTGAAAATAGATTAGCTAAACAAACTCTACCAACGTACGATTATTTGAACCTGAAAATTACTCAATCCGAACGTCAACCATCACACAGTAGTAATAGTGTAATTTGACAAGCATAATTACTGATTGGCGCATTAAAACCAACATAAGATTGTGTTATGACTACTATTTCTTTCTTTCTTTTTCTCGGATGAATAAAGCAAAAAGTATGTTGTAAAGAAGTGTAACAACCTCTTCTCTTTTTACTTTAAATACCCTTAAGCCGCGAATAGTTATGATTGCAAGTTAATGTCTTTTTGAATTATGATAAGCTGACTACTTGTGGACCTTCACCATAATGAAATAGTTTCTACGTATTAAAATAGTGCATCATGATACTTAAAAGATATCAAGTTTAAGTCCTGAAGAGCCCATAAAATATCATTGACATGTAATTCAAAGCAATTCAGCAATTTAACATCACAACGATGACATTCAGAGCCTCAATGGTTTAGAATCTAGATCCTTCACCGGGTGCCACTAGAAATTGAACAATCACATAGCAAAGTTAAGAAACTTATGTCATTATCATAGCGACCATCTTCCTACAACTTTAAAGGTGAGAAACACCACCTGATAATTGTTAAAAAAGCTAAAGAGTTATTTCCAAATAATAAATGACGGAGCTCCACCTGATGATAATCTTTACAAGGATCCAACACCTAAGACAACTTGTGTTGAATCTTTTCTCAATGAGCAAATATCTCAAAATTCCATCTTTATCTTATATTTACGATAGAAAAATTAGAGAAACCCATAACATGATGGCCAAAGCAGTGCGATAATCCAATTTTATTATGTTATGTGGTCAAGTATAGTAATTTCTATAAAGCAAATCTTTTAAAAGGGAAATAGGTCCCAAACTAGAATTAATAGATACTTCTGAGAGATTTCACAGCTAAAACGACAGCCAAAACTCTTTGTTACTTTAAAGTTAGAAGTACCACACAACTCAAAATAACACAGGAAATGGTGCAGTTTCTCTTTAAGGAAAGGTGTATAATCAATGCATTTTTATATTCTATACCATTCATGATATTGTGACATTAAAATGTATGGAAAAGGAGATAAATAGACACCTTGTGCTCCTGAAGACATCCTGAAGCTCACAACATACTCCGGATATATGTGTGTATTCATATTCATATTCCAAACAGTATAATACGTAGGATTCTCCAAATCATCAACACCACTATCATATTTCTCATCACTCGGATGAGATTGTTTAGTACCAAAATGCAAAAGTTCTTCATTGCCCAAAATGACACGACAAAGAACCATGTAACGAACGCCATTTTCGTCAACATCACAACTAGCGGCACTGATAAAGACAAAGAAAAAAGAAAAGCAAAAATTGCTGAAGTTAGATTGTCCTGAAAGATATCAGTGAATAAAGGGCCATTTTTCTTTCTTCTTTTGGGTTTGGGGATTTGGTGTGTGTGTTTGGGGGAGGGGGTGTCTTATTAAATATCCAGAGATGATACTATAATCACACCAAAATAAGTGTTTGAAAACAGCATTGTTATCTTTAAGTTGCAAGGCTCTTTTTTTCCCTTTTAATCTCCTGGAAGTCCGTAAACTAATTTGGAACTATATAATCACAAAGATTAATGACCTCCATTAAGCTACTGCATGAATTTTAAAACCAACCTAAGATCATGATATTGTAACTCCAAACAATAATGAAATCATCAATAAAAATGACATTATATTACGAAGTATATCCAACCTTTTAGAGGCACGGTCCTGTGCAATGAGGTGCACTCCTACTCCAAGATTAGTATTCTGTCCAGATGACCCATGCATAAGGCCATAATTCATAATTGTACATACAAGCTCTTTGGAAGCGGCAAGCCAAGCATACCGAACATTGGAATTTCCACGATAATTTTGGGTTATCTCAACCAGCTTCTCAAACAGTTCCAGGCGACTTCTCAAATATTTACTTGAACATTGACTTACTTTGACTATATCCACTTTATAGATGCCATTTACTCCCTTAACAAACATATTTTTAACAGATTCTGCATCCACCAACTTTAGTGCATCTTCTAATTTAGGAGACAGAATTTCCTGATTCTGTTGATTGTCTACAACTATTTCCATTTTTGCATCAGAAATTTTATCATCAGCAAATTCTTGATTATCTTTAAAAGGATTGACTTTAGTCTTTTTATAACTGACATTTGACTCCTCCACGCATTCTTCCAAATTGCAATTATTCGGTCCATGAAAGTCTATTTCAAGATGCAACTTGATTTTAGTTGCCCTATCCGGCTCAGCAGTGCTGAAATCATCAGTTCTCTGTGACTGGATGTCAAAGTTGTCATGCATTTTACAACTGACGAGACATAACTCGGGGAAGAAACAGCCACCTGCTTCATCTATCCAGGCGATAGGTTTCTCTAAACCAGTTATCAGATCTACCTGAATCATATACAGAATATCAAGGATTACATGAAAGCAACCACAATTCACCTCAATCACAGCCTTCTTTGCACGGAAGTCTTCTTTAACTAAACGAATAATATCTTCAGGGAAATCATTCCATTCACCATTTTGATGAAACAAAACACGTTGTGGCAGTCCACTTTTCATGAAATTTGAGTAGTTCTTAGGTATCAATTTCCTGAGATGTGATCTGCAATTAGACTCACAGCCAACAGTCCTTTTTCTCTTCCCAAGCTTGTTATAGAAAGAGCTACAATTTAGTTGAAATATTAGCTCCTCAAGCTTCTCACTGCGGGCTCCAACTATACGTGCCACACACTGAGATGCCACTTCACTATTTGAGTTGTCTGCAGCAGTCCTACGGCCATTATCTAACACTTTAACCCAGCTTGACTCCATTTATCTACAGGCAACTACTATTTACAAATTTTTAACAGAAAGACTATATCCTAGACTAGTATCGCGCAAGTCTGCCATAACAAATTCCGGAGAAGCCACATTAAGGAGAATGAAATGCAAAACCTGGCAGGAAAAACAAAAGCAATTAGGGAGTCATTCATTAAAAATAGAAAAGACGAGATATCTCTTCATATGAACTACACGACACTCACCATAATGGAACATAGCATAGTTCATAAACTACGTAGCTCAAATAATCTAACACCAACTGAATAACAGAAAATCCTGAACTCTAGCAATAAAAGTAAATTTCACTCCTTTTCGAAGAAATAGAGGTATTTCCACTCTGTAATGCTAATGCATATAACTCAAGTACCTCATTTATTTACTTCCCGCAAGTGAAATACCAGTAAAAAAAATTTTAATAATGCATATGGAATATAGCTAACTTTGAGAAACCTACCATATTCTGCAATAAGTGGCCATCTCGGCAGAGGCTCGTTGTCTCCATAATGCTGGTATGTCAAGTCAACGAATTTCCTTTGCACAAAGGTAAACTTAGAAAGCTAATCTAATTCACCTCCGCTGAAAACATAACTTCGTCAATATTAACGATTTAAAAAATACAAAAATAAATGCTGAACTAAAATTTCCAAATATTATAAACCAATAAATAAAGAAAACAGAAATAACAAAATGGTCTATCACTATCTTTCAAACAAAAATTCAAGATAAGCATTAGCATTACTCTCAAATCTCTCATTAAGACTTAAACTTCAGTTAATATTAGGCAGTGAATGAACAACTGGAAAACAGCTACATTGCCTTTTCATGGTTTTTCCTTTTTGGTTTCAACGGACCTTATCTTGAATTGACCTTAAAATAAGCATACACATAATCACAAAAAATGGACCGAACACTACATATATAATATACGTAACATGTTATTAAGAAAACAACAACAAGAACAGACCCAGTGTAATCCCACAAGTGGAGTCCATGGAGAATAGTGTATACGCAGAATATATGTAGTATAAGTAAGTCCCGCCAAAGGGTGTATCCTATCGGTTGGTGACACCACGATTAAGAGTGCAAACGACCAAGGTTCTAATCCAAAGCCTCGACCGGACAGTTAACAGCTATTGTAGTAAGTACCCTATGGGATGGCCGAGCTGCGCTAGCGTCGCCCTTATTTTATATACATGTGTGTATTTACATATATATGTTTTTGCCAACCTAGTCCATGGTTTTAGTAGGTTAGCAAAGCTATCATTTTTAAGTTCACTAAATAACAGTGCCAGCACATTAAAAATATGGACATTTTTGCCTTTCACCCATCCTAAATTTAGTCGGATGCCTCTCTAGAAAAGATTTTCAGCTCTTTTTTCTGTCTACCTTTGCTCATATAACATAAAGAAGTTCCCTCATGTAACCACTTGGCTTAAATGTAAAAATATAAGCTATAGTACTAAAATGACAAAGGTAACTTAAAGGGCAAATTTGAGAACTTAAAAAAATGGGAACATGTCAGCCTATTAAATCCATGTTATACAACGGCAAATATATCATAATTATGTACCAAATAAAAGTCCAGCAAAAATTAAATGAAATTATCATAAAATGCTGCACAAAATTCAGTAAAAATTCAAATCAATTCATCGTAAATAATGTAGCAAGCAAAAAGTTCCAAAAATCTCATAAATTAGCAAAAATATATCGTAAAAATATTTACCACAAATTAATTTCAGAAAAGAAGAAAAAACAAGATCCAACCCGATCTACCCGGAACAAAGCAAATCGAAACATATCAGATACAGATCTAAACAGTGAAAGAAAAAACTGTTTAAAGAAAAAAAGAAAAATAGTCTAACCAAGCTTTAACAGATTCTACCTTTCATTGATTAAACGTAGTCGTCTTTGTCGTCGTCTCGGAAGAAGTAAACGCTACAGAGGTTACGGAGAAGGAAACAAAGCAGAACACAGCAGGTCACGAGACGACGACGTTCAGACGGAGATGATATTCAATTGCTACTGAAATTCAACATCTAAATTAATAAAGAAAAATAGTTATATAGTTTGTGAGAATTTCAACTCTTTGAATATCTAGATTTGTAGTTTGCTTGGGCGAAAAGAAAGAGAAAATAAACAAAACTATTTTGAGCGAAAATGGAAGGAAGGAGCGAAAGGTCGGCGACCTTACCTTGTAGCTTCGAAGATTGAAGGTACATAGGTAAGTTGTGTTTTTCGGGTAACACTAGTAAACGATATCGTTTAGTTACTGAAAATATGTGGACGACGTCGTTATTATGCTTCGTCGTTTTGCGCACTTTAACCTTTTGTCAGAGTTTGTCGTTTATGTAGAGTGAAAGGATTTTCTTTTTTCTTGAGCATCTTGTGTCCAAAATTTACATTTGTTAGTTAAGGCTTGTTTGGATGGTTGTTACATATTCTATTGCATCGTATTATTTTTTAAATAAAATATTTATTTTAATTATTACTTAAATTTTATCGTATCGTATCGTTAAATTCAATAACGAAAAGTGTCACTTTATGGAACGATGAATTTGGTGTGGCACCATTATTTTCTTGCTTTTTTCTCTCATCTTGTCCCTTCCTTATTATTAAATAATCATATTTTATCATTTATTCCACTTTTTATATAATAATTCTATTTTGTATCCTTTTTTCTTTGTAATATTGCAAGTTTATTATTCATATTGTTGGTGCATGACATCATGAAACGACGGCAAACAATACAAACTATCCAAACATTGTATCCATCAAACAATACAATACAATGCAGTATAATACAATAAGATACATTATGAAACGACATGTAACAAAAATCCAAATAAGTTGTTAGTCATTAACATTTTCCGTCAAAGTTATTGTTCATTTTTTTTAGCTTGAATTAGAAATACTTAATTAAAAGGAAGATCATTCAATTTTTGCAATAAATCTTTTCACATTTATAAATATTTAAGATTACTTGTCACTTGACGAGAAATTACATTTAATTAATTCTCAATCTTATGTAACTATGAGAATTATTCATGTCACAATTTACTTGTCAGTTTTTGTAGGAATTAATTTAGTTAAATTTGAAACTAATTCTACATACAATAACAATTCCAATATAGTCCCATTATTTGAAAATTTTATGAAAGTGTTATAAATTAAAAGATCTCATTTGAGAATAAATATATTTAAGATTATTAATGTTGGAAGCAAAAGTTAAGAACTATTCCGAGAACAATTATGAATAGCGAACGACACTAAGCTAATTTTTGGAGTAGTATTGCTGTTTGAGGAAGGAGGAATGACGAGTATTTGGCATATAAAAATTTATCGTACTCTATCAAATTATAGTAAAGTAAAGTATCATCACGCAAAGATTGAATATTCTATTCTAAAGATTTATATTACCTTGACTTACTATTTGAGAGAATCAAATTAGTAAATATCAGTTATAGTGTATTAAAATTAGATTTCTTGAAATAAGAAGAACCATAAGAAAATATATTAAATAAATAAGATACGTAAAATTCTCAATGTGACCTTAATAATATGGCATTCTTGTTTTAAGAGATTCTAAAGTAATATTTATTTATTTCTAATACAAATATATTTTTAGTCTGAAGTAATCTATTAACAAAATACTTCTAGATTATATTTGTTAATTGACTAGTAATTTAACAAAGAAAATCTCGTTTTGGATAGTAAAAACTTCTTTCAAATATTTCTACTCTCGCGTATTAGAATAGTCAAGATCTTGAAGATGTTGTATCACCTAAATATTATATTCCTTAATTGTCCGTATTATTCTTTGCTTCTTTCGAATGCAAGGATTAATACAAAATATGTTAAGAAATAAAATAGATAGATATGACAATATTTATCACTCAAGAACCTGACCTTTCGACATATATAAATATAAAATTTCAGATCAAGCACCAATTGAAACATGAATATCATTATAATAACTTGTCAAAGTTCATACGATAATTATCGAACGGAACAAACTTTAACACATGGAGAAAATATTACTATATATAAGTAGTAGGCTTAAGTAAAACCTCACAGACAAGAAAATAAAAAAATAGGACAACACTGATATTACAACTTTGAAATAGGAAAGAGAGTCTAGAGATAAAGTTGATTTTGTTACTACTGTAACTAAGAATTTCTCCTTTAATTCTCCGCTAACTCCCCCTCTAAGAAGCTCAAAATATATGTATTTATAGTTATTTTTCTTTGGCAAGTCAATTGTACACTTGAGGATTTTGGTTTTCAACTTGGCAAGTAGTCTATGCTACTTTCTTGATGAAGTGAATACTTTGTTCTTTTTTCATTTTCTCCATTGTTGATTTATATATGATATCAACTATGAACTTTCGATCTTTAGCTTCCTTCTAGTCCAAGACATGATTACAAGTAGTGATTTGGTGACTTTTCTGCTAATTTTATTATTTCATGCAACATAAATAGAGGATTAGTACCATATTTTGGATATTACAACAAACTTTATGCATGATATATTTCTCTTTATCAAGGAAGCTGTATACGGGTAAAATCAAGCTCATGGTGTACCCTAACTTTCGACAAGATAAGCATGGCTCGAGATATGGCAATAAGGGACCGAAATCGAGTCAAAGTCCCACCGGACTAGAACCCGGGAGCATGATGCCTACTTTCGAGGATATCGAGACCATGATCCCGGAATCGGTCCTAGCCTCGAACGACTTTGATGAACATCGTCATACAATCTATCATAGCCAATAGAAGGCCGAAATATCCGTGACCAGCCGAATGTTATGGCGGAAATCTGGGCACTTATCGATAAGGAACCGGCAATCAGCGAATCAGAAGATTTTTTACCTTTTATAGAGTTATACCTAAAATAGGACTCTCCTACTATATAAATGGGGTCTAATAATTCATTTGACACATTGTAACACGTACTCAAAAGCAATACATTATTATTTTCTCTGTCTTTAAGCTCTTGTTTTTCTGTTTATCGACATCGGTCGTGGTGAGCCCGACTCGAGGGCAATTATTTCATCAAGGCTGAAATTATCCAACTTGTGTGGTATTTATCTTATCTTTATTTACCCAATAACAACTTAATTTATCGCTTTATGTCGAGTTAATCCGCGCATCCTTAAAACCACTTACAAATTTAATTGTTATCCGATTTTGAGGGTAAACAGTTTAGTGCCCACCGTGGGGCTAAGGATAATAGCGGCAATTTGATACAAATTCCCGTAACACACCCTATTTTACACTTATTCTTTGAAGTGTCTTTGATTCCAGGTTAAAATCAAAATGTCAAACCCACAGTCTGCCCCTCTAAACACGGATACGGAGTCTAGCCACCATGGCGAAAACAATAATACAACACCCGATAACGAGGTGCCCCGAGTCGATCTCGGCGTAGTCCTGGTAGCGGATCCCATCGACGCCAGTTCGCATGTGTCCATCAATATAAATTTGCCTACAGGTCCCGAGAACAGCGTACACAGAGAAGTCCGATCAATTGCCCAGAATATGCACGACGGTGAAAACGATGGGATCAACTTGCGAGTAATCTTCGAAATGTTACAGGCTCAACAGGCGGCGCTAGCCCAGTTGCAAAACCAAAGCTGAGCGCCGAGCAGAGTTGAGCCCGAGCCATCCCGGGAAGTCACCCGCAGAAATGAACCAATCATGGAGAGGCCGAATGAAAATGAATCGGGACTAACCCCGAGATCATAAAAATGCTCGAGGAATTGACAAAACGGATAGAATCGGGGGAGAAGAAAATCGAAGCCAATGACAAAAAGGTGAAAACCTACAATTTCGGGGTCGACCGAATCCCAGGAGCACCTCCGATATTGAAGGGCCTGGATTCTAAGAAGTTTGTTCAAAAACCTTTTCCTCTAAGCGCAGCGCCAAAGTCGATCCCGAAAAAGTTCCGCATGCCCAAAATTCCTAAGTACAATGGAACGACCGACCCAAATGAGCATGTGACCTCCTATACATGCGCCATCAAAGGGAACGACTTGGAAGATGACGAGATCGAATCTATCCTGCTGAAAAAGTTCGGGGAAACTCTATCCAAGGGAGCTATGATATGGTATCACAACCTACCTCCTAATTTTATTGACTCGTTTGCTATGGTTGCAAATTCATTCGTAAAAGCACACGTCGGGGCTATTAAGGTCGAAACCAGGAAGTCAGACCTTTTCAAAGTGAAGCAGAGGGATAACAGGGAATTCGTGTACCGGTTCCAAATGGAACGGATGGAATTGCCTCCGGTCTCGGACGATTGGGTCGTTCAGGCCTTCACCCAGGGACTCAATGCTCGAAGCTCGATGTCTTCACAGCAGTTGAAGCAAAATCTGGTGGAATACCCGGTTGTCACTTGGGCCGACGTGCATAATCGGTATCAATCAAAAATCAAGGTCGAATATGATCAACTCGGGGCCCCTTCCGGGTCCATTTATTCCGTCAGATCAGTTGACAAAGTCAGGAGAGACATTGATCGTGAACCACGGTCGAACAGGGATCGGTTTCATCCATACAATGGAGACCGAATAGGTGGTGGATCTGGGTGGAACCTTGCGAAAAGTGAAAGAAGAAGTGACCGAGGTCAAAACAACCGGGGACTCATGAGCAAAAATAGTTTGGACAGGCCCATCGGGCCGAAAGAAACGCCAAGACTATCGGAGTACAACTTTAACGTCGACGTCGACGCCATCGTATCCGCAATTGGACGTATCAGAGACACCAAATGGCCTCGACCTTTACAGTCTGATCCAGCCCATAGGGATCCTAACCTAATATGCAAATATCATGGCACTCACGGTCACAAGATAGAAGATTGCCGACAATTGAGAATGGAAGTAGCCCGGCTATTCAATAATGGGCATCTCCGAGAGTTCCTGAGCGACCGAGCCAAGAACCACTTTAGAAATAGAGATTCTGGTAAACATACCAAACAGGAGGAACCTAAGCACATCATCAACATGATCATCGGTGGGGTCGATGTTCCCTAGGGGCCGATGCTGAAGCACACCAAAGTATATATCACAAGGGAAAAACGAACTCGGGATTATGTGCTAGATGGAACCTTGTCCTTCAACGCTGAAGGGATCGTGCATCCCCACAATGATGAACTGGTAATATCAGTACTTATAAATAAATCTCGAGTTAAGTGTGTATTAATTG